GCATAGGGCTTCCAAGGCTATAAATCTCCAGCGAAGCAGAATGCCACATCTTTCTCCCCTGGAGCCGCTGGTGGTTTCGAACCGTCAACCTTTCGGTTAGCAGTCAATCGCTTTAACCACTGCACCACCAGGGCTCCTCTGTAAGCATCTATGATGAGGTTATTTTAACACTGGCAGCCCCACTGGCCAAATACACATTACTGACAAAGTAACTTAGTGATAGTATTTTCTTAGTCCTTTATGGACATACATTTACAAACAAATACCAATTTTAGTCTTCTCTATTAGTTTCCATTAATTTTGTTTCATTTTTGTAATTTAATACTTATAATAAATAAATTTAATATAAATTCACTTAATTAAAAAGTGGAAAGATTAGAACATTATCTCATAAAATCACTAAGATCTCTGTCATTTTATATCAAGAATATCAATATTTTTGCAAAAAGACTTTTCTTTTTCGGTTTTAAGTAAATAAGTCTTATAAAATAAGATTAACTTCCAATTACTGACATTCAAACTAGGAAAGCCAAACACACTAATGTTTTCAACCAAAGACACTACTCACACCGTGGTCCTATGAGACACTTCAACTTACCTCATCTCCCTTCAAAACTTCTGCACCATCAAACTCCCGTGTCTGATTTGTCTTCACGGACACCTCTCTCTCTAGGCTGGCTAATTTTTCCTTTGCCTCCTGAAGTTCCTCAGCTTTGGCTTCTTTTTTACGAGAAATGATGGATGCCTAATTGATCATTAAACATGGAAGTAAAAGAACCACACATACAATCAACTTTCTATTATTCTGGTGAAGTTATCTATACTTTTGATTTTAGTGAACTGAATTTTCAGGGTCAAGGTGATGTCTCCTGAGCACTACCCCTTGCCCCACTACGTACCATCACCAGTTACAGATTTGGTGTGATCATGCAATGTACATTTAATATCAACCTAAATACATGTTGGAAAACAAAGGCCCTGAAAATATAGGCCAAATCAGCAGAGAAACAAAAATGCAATAAGAATATTAAAGTCTTGTCAAGTAACACTCAAATGCTAAAGAAAATAGATTCTTGGTAAGTAAACACAGAAGTCAACACTAAGTCTATTGTTCTTCTGTATAGTGGGCTTCCTTTCATTGGAAGACAAGAATGCTTTATTCTCAAAACACAGGTCATCTTATCTAG